TCAAAATATGGACTGAATAGGTATGGAGAAAAGACATAACACTTTCTTGCTTTTAAACCGTATTGTGGCTTCTTGTTCTGTTCAACAACAACTGTTGGTATAGGTATAGTTTCCCATGAGCATGATTAAGCATTCTGGAATGTCTATTCTTCTCCATGTATCCATAATTTGTTATGATTCACACAGTTAAAAGCCTTTGTATAGTTAATAAAAAAATAGATAAAGATCATTCTTCTTCTCTCTACTTTCTGTCAAGATCCATTTGACATCAGCAATGAAATCCCTACTGCCATGGTCTCTTTTTGATCTAGCTTAATTTTCTAGCAGTTCCCTTTTAATGTACTGTTCCAGTAACTTTTTTTTAAAAGAAAAGTTTATTTTAATTGTGATTTTAACTAATATTTACAGATAAGTTAGATTTTTCATTCATTCATTCATTCATTTTTGTACATTTTATCGCATCTCATTCTCTTCCCCTAACCCAGCTTATTTTTTTTTCTAAATATTCATTCATTTTTGCACAATTACCTCCTCACTCTACAACCCCTCACAGTTCTCCAGTACTCTTTGCAAGAATATACCTCTTTTCCCCTTATTTTTTAAATGTTTATTTTGTACTGGTTCAATTATAAATTTCCTATATATTGTTTTATCACACAAGGTATTCCGCCTTTCCTTTACCTACCCCTCCCTCCACCCACAGAATTATGCAACTTTACGTTAAGACCTTTCCCCATGCTCATCCTTCTCCTCCCCTTCTCACCTTGGATCCTCGTATACATTCTACAATAACGATCTTATCCAGTATTTGTCCTTATGGTACTGAGTTAGTTCACTTAGCATAATTCTCTCCAGTTGCTCCAAAATTAGGTTGTTGTTGTTGTTGGTGGTATGTGCCGTTGAGTTGCTTGTGATTCATAGTGACCCTCTGTACAAGAGGCCTAAACCCTGCTCTATCCTGTGCCAACCTCACTGTCCTCGACACATCTACTCCCATTACCCCAATTACTGAATTGACCCATTTCATTGAGGATGTTCCTCTCTTGAGTTGTCCATCCACCCTCCCAAACATGATGTCCCTCTTCAAGGATTGGTGCCTCCTTGCAACATGCCCAAAGTATGTCAGACAAAGCTTCAGAATCCTTGCCTTCAAATGAGCAGCTTGGCTTCACCCTCTCCAGGACAAAGCTGTTTGTTCTCCTAGCAGTCTATGGTATATTCAACACTCTTCTCCAATACACAGCTCAAAGGCATCAATTCTCTTTCTATCATCCCTAGTCACTGTCCAGCTCTCTGAAACATAGCACATAATTGTGACGACTATGGCCTGAATCAGGAACACCTTAGATTCCAGCCTGATGTCATTGTTCTTCAGTATTCTGGAGAGGTCCCTGACAGCTGACTTTCCCAATGCAAGTTGTCTCTTGATTTCCTGGCTTTTGGTACCAAGAGTGTTGGTTGTGGAACCAAGCAAACAAATACTGTTAACAATCTCAATCTCTTCACCCTCCATAATCATCCCAGTGGTGAGAACCTTTGTTTTCTTGATGTTGAGCTTCAATCCATATTGAAGGCTGCAGTCCTTGACCTTCTGCAGCCAGGGCGTCAGGTTATCCTAAGTTTCAGCAAGCAGGGTTGTGTCATTTGCATAATGCAGGTTGTTGATGATTCTTCCTCCAACCCTGATGCCACATTCCTCCTCATGCAGCCCAGCATCCTGGATGATCTGTTCTGCATACAGATTGCAAAGGTATGGAGACTGAATACATCCCTGGTGGACAGCCTTTCCAATTTTGAACCATGTAGTGTCTCCTTACTCTGTTCTGATGACTGCCTCTTGGTTCAAGTATAGGTTTTGCATAAGAACCATCAAATGTTCTGGAATTCCCCTTCTTCTCAGAGTCCACCACAGTTTGTTGTGATCCACACTGTCAAAAGTCTTTATGATGGTGGTGATATGCATTATTTGCCTTTTTGTGACTCAGGTATCTCACGCATCATAATGTTCCAGTAATTTTTAAATAATCTTCATCAAGACTTTACTTGACTGTGATACTAATGGCAGTTTTTTTTTTTTTTAATTGCCACATTCTTTTTGGGAAAATGGAAAAAATATGGATGTCTTCCAGTCACTTGGCCAGGTTCCAAATTTCTTGCTGTAACTAGCAAGCAATCTAGGGCTCCAATATGTTTGTTTAAACATGTAAAATAACGTAACATCAATTCCTGGGTTTTTTTTTTTGCAATGCTTTCTGTACAGCTTGAACTTTTTTCTTTATCACTGTTGGGTCCTGATCATATATTACTTCCTGATATGGTTCAGTGTCAACCAAATATTTTTGGTACAGTACATTCTTTCCATATTCTTTGGATGCTTCCTGTGTCCTTCAAAATTCTGTCCATAAAACACTTAAATATTGCAACTCAAGTCTTTTCTTGGTTTCCCAACTTGAGAATGCCAAATATGTTCTTCCCATTTAAATTTCTAAGAGCAGCTTTTTGTACATTTTATTTTAATTCAGCCATCTGAATAGCCATCCAACTATTCACCTTTGTTCTGTCCAGATATAGGTTAGGTATGAGACTGAAAATGCCTATAAGCCAATTTTCTGCCTTAAAGAGGCTTGGAGTTCTTTGAAAATATAAGTAAGTGAACAAAGGAGATAAAACAAACATTTGGCCCCAGATACTTCTAAACTCGGCAAGATTACTGTTTTAAAAGATACATCCTAATTTAGAGTAGTCTGAAAGTAACTGATTCGTTGCTAAAGACAAAAAATAACTAAGTTGTAAAAAGTAGACAATTTAAGCTACAGTTCAATGTCGGGAGGAGAACCCATAAAAAGTCTGATTCTGATTGAAAGTACCAAACACAACAAATAATCCCACTTTTATTTGTCCTTCTAATGTCAATATAAAAACTTAAAGTTATTCCTTAAAATGTGACAAATGCTAGGTAATTAATTACTGGTTTGAGGTGTTTCATATAACCACCTCAGAAAACAGCTGTCTCAAATTACATAATGTAGTCCACAAAGACTGTTCTAGAGTCTACTGTGGTGACAATCTGGTTAGCAATCATGTGAGGTACAGCTACTATTTCCCCATTCAAAGAAAAGCAGAATGAAAATATTAAAAGATGAATAGAAACAAATAGCTCAAAGGAATAATGAATTACACAAAATCAACTTTCTTTATCTTGAGATCAGAACTAAATGGTGCCTCTCTACCACTACTAATCACTCTGAAAAGAAACAAAATGGGAGGTTCTGGATAGAATGAGAGAAAAATGTGTCAAAAACAAATAAAATAGAAAGGGGGTGGGGGAAAATAAACCCTAATGGTTTGACTGTGCCTGGTAGGTAGAACTACCTTTGGCTCAACTTCCAGCCAAACAATAAACCTATATCATGAAAAATCACACTAAAGAAGTATGTATTTCTCACAGTTTTATGAGACTAAAAGAATAATGCCAGTAATACCCAGGGATAAAGCTCAGAAGATCAGAAAAAATTGGAAATAAGTGTGAATGAAAACAATAAGCACAAGGTAGAAGTGGGAAGAATACGGCTACATTTTGAGAATTGCAAACAAACAATTGTGAAAAAAAAAAGGGTGAATGAAGTGCTGAATGGAAAATGAATTTTCCCTGTAAATTTTCAATTCAAATAGCAATAAAAAGATTTAAAAATCATAAATTATTCTCAACTCAAACAATGAAGCAAAAATTTCACATATTTATAAAAGTTTATAACTGATTGAAATAGAACAATGTTAAAAAGATTACTTTTCAAGTGAAAGAAATTGATTCTCTTTATGAATATTAAAGCCTTATTTTACAAAAGTCCTAACATAAACATGACAATAATACTGTGATGTTTCAGTCTACCATACATAATCTTATGCCTCAACTTATTACTATTTTTGATTAAGAAAAAAAAAGTGATTTCTAAGCAAGTAAGAAATAAAAGAATGAAAAAAATAAAAATAATAAATAAAAAAGAAATAAAAGAATGTTAAATTGAAGTACATATATGTTTTCAAAAAAGTGGAACCTACTCATGAAAATATATGTACAAATAAGAGAAATCTGAAATCATAATTGGCATTGATTTAAAGGGGGAGCAAATCAGAGATTCTGAAACAGTATGCCATAAATAGCCATGTCATCATATTTTATTTATGTTTAGAAGGAAAAACAGCATTGGATAAAATGTCTTCTAAGCTAAAATCTGAATAAATATGTAGAATATTTTCTCAAATATTACTTTTTTAATAAATTACATTTTTTAATTGAATATTGACTGTGTATCTAAGGTAACCCTCAGATCACATGTTTTCTGGTTGTGTTCCAACTCCTCATCTAGTTTTGATCGATATCCTTATATGCACAACTTTGGGCCTTGGTTTGGGTAAGGAAAGTTCATTTTTTTTTACGGGAAACCAAAGACTCTTTCTAATGCTTGAATAATTCTGAATCTTATTTTCAATTTATAGTTTTTACATTTTCTGATGTTTTCAAATCTCAGAAGCTGTTTGGCATAATAATGTCAGAGTCTGAGGAAAATACACATTTTTGTGCTGAGAATCACAAAGTTGACGAGTTGGTCTTGTTATATAAATGGACTAATTTAGTTGTTCTGGTATATAATACACAAAAATGTAAATAAATATTCAACAAATATATTATTTTTAACAATCAGACTTTACTTAATCTGGTTTATCTATTTTGATAGTGAAAGAACTTGGGCCCAGAGTAAAATACACACTGAAAGTCACTGAAAACAGGAAGAAAACACTAAACTCTTTATAACAGGCATCTTAATTTCCCCAGGAACTAGGACCACACTAGAAATAGAATTTCTGTGTGATATAACTATTTCTGAATGAGCACTCAGCAGTTATCAAGCCACTAACAGTTATGGCATGCAATAGGAGTGTTCACTGGTTACCATTTGCACGCCTCCATTTTACTCATCGGGAGAGAAAAGATGTCCTACCCAGATGTTGTCTTCTTGCTTGTACTGTTTCCAGTTGCGTCCTGTGTCACTAAACATCAGGCTGTAACTTGTCACCCAGTCAGAGCTTCCATATCTTCCCTGTGTGGCCACGGCAGTTATCTCCATCCTATATCCCAGGTCCATCTGGAGCCATTGCTGGGAGTTAGAGTTTGCTGGGGACCAACCACCAATTCCTGGGAAAGGAAAAGAGAGAGAGAGAGAAAGAGAGAGAGAGAGAGAGAGAGAGAGAGAGAGAGAGAGAGAGAGAGAGATAATATCTCATACAGCTATAGCTTTCGACTATCAAAGAGAAATTCAAAGATGAATCATTTGTCTTTGCTAAAAAATGCCCTATCTTTTAACTGCTGGCACTTTGTTTGACATATTTTCCATCCTCCTCTTGCATCTATCTAGTTAACTTTTGTGAACTCATTTCCAAAGCTATTTCTTCGTTTATTCTTCCTCTATTTTCTTGACCACAGAAGTTTCCACATAATGAATTCCTACTGGACTTCACTGTACTTTATTAAAGTTAAACTTATATCCTTTAACTAAATTTATGTTTCCTTCTTTTCTCTCCCCTTTTTCCTTCTTCTCTTTTATTATGTCTTTATTTTCCTCCAAATATGTACTGTGAACCTGATATGAGAAAATGCTTTCATGTAGAAACTAGTATGCAGGAGTAGTGGCCAAACATCTGAAGGAATATAATTAATTGTTTCAAAAGTTGTTCAATGAGCACAAAGAATATTCTGTATGCTGAAGAAAGAGAAACATGTAAAATGTATTGTATGATGTGATGTGAAAGGAAGACTTAAGAACAAGAACACAGAGAACATAGGTACCTTAACAACTGACCAGACTATATGGCAAAAGAAAGTGAAGCTAAAGTAAAAATATGAAGCAACTATATCATTTTTTCAAGAAAGCAAGCGTGAAGTTGAATTATACAGAAAACAGTGCAGTAGAGACAGTACCTGTCATATCTCAGAACAATGTCAGAATCTCACTCATCAAATCTGCATGTAGTTTGTTATGTTTGACACACAAAATATTTTTCTTAAATTAATAAAAGCTTTGGATATCAACTTTATATTAATTTTTATATTTAAACTTTGTTTTCAGAAAATAAATATTAGGTCTTACTTAGTCTCTTTGTAACTTTGATGGCCTTTATTTCACACGAGAACACAGATATCCAAGTTCGCCTTTCATGGTCTCAAAGTTAGATATTACTGAAATTTGAATAGAAGGGCAATCAAATGCCTATGCCAAAGCTATAAATAGGATGAAAACTGCCCTTTCCTTAACTGCCTTCCTTAGCGCATCAGGTTGGAACTTAACTGAATTTTAACTTAATCAATAAACCTATTCTTGGTAAATGGATACTTTAAAAACTGACACATGTTGTATTGATACTCTTTCACTATATGGATCTGTAGTTGTATCCCATCGAGTAAGAACGGACTCATAGATAATGCTTCAGAGGTTTTCAGAAGCAGTAAATTTCATGGGAGAAGATTCCCAAGCCATCTTTCAGGAAGCGGTGGATAAGTTTGAACAATGAACCTTTGGAATTACAATGCAACTTCTTACTACTAGGCCACCAGAGCTCCCTTTATGGGACTAAAATTCACTTTATTCCAGGCAATAGCTGTTATTTGCTCATAATGAGCAAATGTGGGCAGAGCAAGACTATTCAATAGGTTTTTCAAGGTTTTTTTGGTTGTTTTTTTTTTAACCAAGTGGAAGCAAATTATTTGGTCTTGCTTTTGAAACATCTTGGTGTGAGTTTAAACCTCCAACATTTTTGTTAGTAGTCTATTTCTGGTGGCCTAGTGGCAAGAAGCTGCCATGCAATCCTGAAGATAGGTGGTGCTAATGCACCAGCTGCTCTGAGGGAGAAAAATGCACTTAACTGCCTCTGAAAACCTGGTGGAGGGTCAGCTGTCATAAACAACACACACAAAACGCATACACAGTCTATTTGTGCCATCCAGAGATTTCTAATCGCTTAGCTGCTTTTTTGATGGGATAAAGTTTTGTTTTAATCCTGCTGAGGACAATAAAATTCTAGGATAGGAAAGAAAGGAATGTGCTAAGCACCTACTGTGGAATAAGTTATGTCCAGAGTTTTTGAAATAATATGAATGTAGTGGCAGATATCACTGACTGCTCACCAATATTGATCTTTTTGTCCTTCTAGATCAACAGAATTGAAATGGGATCATGGTCTAATTGTATTTCTCCATTTTCTTTACTTAATATATATGGTCAAGTTGTCAAGCTCTCTACAATAAAGCTGCATGTGAATTAGCAGTGATCACATAGGGAGCTGTGCTGTTAGTTAAGCCTGCCTCTCTCCATTGGTTCCAATCAACCAGTTGCTCCTTGGAAGAAAGATGAGGAATTTTCTTTCATGTAACTTACACCCTCATAAACAGCCTGGAGGATCATCAGTTCCAACTCAACAAGCTTTGAGAATTTCAGGGAAGTATATCCCTTCCTTATTTGCTTCATCTTCTGCTATCATGATGGTAGAGTAACTACATGGAAAATCTTGAACCTTGTACCCTCAGATAGGCAAAATGCCTGTCTCCCTGAATACTAGTCATGAACTCCTTTTTCTTTTTTACCATGTCATTGAAACTTGGGTAATTATATCATTCTTAGCTACTTTTCTACCATTTAAAAGGAGTCAGTTGGACCTCTCCTTCATAACAGGAAAAATTTTTTAAATAAAAATATATTTATTCTTCCCACACCAGTGCACTTTGGAATCTATTTGCTCCTGTAGTTTAGCCTACTTTAACACAAGTATGATATTCTCTGAAGTAAATATGATTATTAAAACCATATAGTTGAAGAAACTGCAAACCAGAAATTTAACATATCAAGCATAGAGTATTCAAATAACATCTCAGGAAATCCAGTTATTTGAGACTAGTTTGTAAAAGAAAACTGCTTTCAAAATTTTAGAAAATAAGAATGTAGTTATTGATAAGTAGGAAAAGCACTATAAAGAAGTATTTGAATGGAGATTGCAGGACATCAGAATCAGGAATACTGCATCAGTCAACTCTGGATATCTTCAATATCATGCCAACCTTGTTCAATAAATTTGTAATTATTCTTAACCTATTGTTCATCTCCACCTGACGTCTCCTGTTGTCCATTCTGTAAGTTCTCTTTTTTAATGTAGATTAAAATATAAGGTTTGTATCAGCTATATGATCTTGACAATATTAAAACACAGTAGAATTTGATAGTGATTCCCTGTGAGTTCTGTACATTTGCTGTATTTTATACATTTTCTGTACTCAACATGTATCCCTTCATAAGCTGACATTCTCACTGTCCATAGTTATGTGGCTTATTGCAAGAAGAAAGAGTAGAACAATCTGATAGATGAATATTTTGTATGACCATCATTATGTTAGAAATTAAAGTTTTAAAGTCTTAACCTTTATTTTTTATCATTAGTAGTCCATAACAAGATGTTGTTCTAGAAAATAACTCCTTAGTCATACTTTATAGGTTTTTTTTTCTTTTATTTGCTGCAATACAGTAAGGATGTATACTGAGTATGAAAGAAAAAATAATAACAAAGAGTTTTCCACTGTATTAGCACCCTGCAAAGAATATAATCACAAAAGGATTGCTCATCTACACAAGAGAGAAAAGAGGATGTGGTAGAGCTAAAATTCTTCACATTTCTCTAAAGAACGTTATATCTCCTTTCAGTTCATAGTAAAATCCTTAGTTTACCAAACCCCTAAAATTAACCAAGATGGAATCATTGATATTAACATTCATTAAGAAGTTTTAAAATTTAAGACCTTCATTTTCAGCTCTAAAAATTACAGGCAAACTATCTGGGTGGTAATTGCCAAGGGCTCATTCCTCCCTGCTGTTAAAAATGTTCTCTGCATTACAACTAATAGTCAAGACATTCAGTGTTGCCATGGTTTCTGTGGCAAACATTTTGTTCCCTCTAGCAAACAAATGATGAGAATGGTCTGAAAATACTATTCTTAGTTGTTTTAAAGACATACCACATTCATATTTCTTTTCAATGTGTGCTTCATACTCTAAATTAGGGGTGCAACATACAAACGCAAATGTGCATATTTTTGGCAAGTTGAAGGTGTTAAATAAAGTCTGTAATTGTAGTTGCAGCAACAGTGATTAACTGCAATTTCCATAAATCTTGAAACTGTAAGAAGCATCTGAATTTATAAAAAGATTACACTCATCATGGATTTTTATAGCATCTAAAATTTCCTAAATGATTTTCAACATTTATCTTCATCTATCTTTCTGTTGTGGTTTAGTCCACAACACAATAGTTCTCTACATAGTACAAAAAAAATAAATCATGATGATACCGTTCCATAAGTAAAAATAATAGGGATCAATTGACCCATATTCTGTCTTGTTTTATTTCTAATACACTCTAAGCCTAATACACTACAGTCTATAATGGGGACAAGGTGGAATAGCACAATATTATACAGAAAACTAAGTACTTTGTTCAAGGCACATTCTGCTGAAACTCCACAGAATACTGTACTAATTATTTCATTTACTAAACTTCATCACTGCTTGATAACAACAACATTGAATTAAGTGGTAGATTTATATGTTTAATCATCAGAAACACCAGGAGCTCTAGTGGTGGTGGTGTTGTTATATGCTGTTGAGTTGCGTGTGACCCATAGCAACCCTATGTACTGCAGCTCTGAAACCTGCCCTGTCCTGAGCCAGTCTCACTAATTCTGACACACCAATCCCCACTGCCCCAGTTACTGTATCAATCCATCTCATCCAGGGTCTTCCTCTCCTGTGCTGCCCTTCTACCTTTCCTAGCATGATGTCTTTCTCCAAGGACTGGTCCCTCCTGGACACCCATCCAAAGTATGTGAGACAGAGCTTCAGTATCCTACCCTCCAAGGAGAAACTTTGTTTCACTCTCCCCAGGACAGACCTATTTGTTTTCTTGGTGGTTTGTGGTATGTTCAAGATTCTTCTCCAGTACTACAATTTGAAGTCATCAATTCTTTTTCTGTTATCCTTAGTCATTGTCTAGCTCTCCAACACAAGTAATTGTGAAGATCATGGTCTGGTATAGGCACACCTTAAGAAGACAAATTCCTCGGCACACTCACTCTCTGGTGCGTTATTCAAGAGCCGA